AGGGAAAATAAAGCGTGTTGAACGAGTAAAACAGCTAGTTATGTAAAAACACACACTATGAATAATGAGAGAAATATTGCAACCATTGACGACACATACAAGGGATGCTGAAAGGGTTCGTGGAATCTATATGGTAGTTGTAGAGATGTTAAAGTTTTTCAGCTGTGTAGTTCGAAAGTATAGAAGAAGCTTGCACTATTACTTTATTAGTGGTTTCCAATTGCGGGTTCTTCAAATTTTTTTTTGTACATTCTTGCCTTACCCCCACAACTGTTAAGATAAAATGTAAACCAGAGGCTGTCAATGTCAGGTTAAAATTACGGATTCTTTAATATTTCTGACGTAAATGTTTACTGCTAGACTCCGGACGAACTTCACTTTAATGGGTACTTGGGAAAACCTTAAAGAAGGGCTAACTTATGCGATTACTGCGCGATAGACACAACATTAAAACTACTTCCCCGTGTACGTGACACAGCCCTTGAACTTAATTCGAACGAGAACATTCACCTTCATAACGATGAAAAACAGGGCCTTTTGGTGAAACACAGTCAGTCTTGGTGGTTATAAAGTTTATTTAGAAGTAAGTGTAAAGACTACACTTTTTTCTACATAAACTTTACAACCACCAAGACTGACTGCCTTTCACCAAAAAGGTCCGTTTTTCGTCCTTTTTAACTCTTCCCTATCTTTGAACTTTCCGACCCATTTCCTTGCTGACTAATGGCAATAACCAATCAATCCCACTAAAAAGGACGGTCGGCTCCCCTTCTCGTCTAACTTGAATATGCGTCTTCGATAAACCTGTGTTTACTGCGACAAACACCTGTTTATCTACAAATTATTTAGCTTTAATAGAGCGATAACGAACTCCTTATCGCAAGACCAAATTTCAGTAAGATAAAATTGTACACTTAACACTTTACTTCCAGATGTCCAGATCAAATAATTCTAACACAAAACAACATTGGCCTCAAATTCAAAAAATATCTTCGAATTTATGTTCAATCCAAATTAACAACCACATTTAACCTTAAAAAATTCAAATTCACCACATTTTTTCCTCCTTGGATTGGACTATATCACTTCTACACACTTTGACCCGGGTTCGCAAACACGTAGTGTTACTTTTACAAAAACCCTCATGCCGGCCCGTGTGGCTCAGTTCAGTTAAAGCTGAACTGTGGTGCTAAGGGTCCCTGGTTCGAATCCGGGTTCGGGCATGGATATTTGTAAATGTATAGTGGGTTGGGTTGGTAGAGCAGCCTTGGCTGAAACCCCGCCCACTGAAAAATAAAGGCAAAATAAAATAAAAAATATGTCTCTGTGCTTCAAAGCTTTGTTCTCTGTTGCCAAATACCCCGACAAACTTATCATTTTCCGACGAGGATGTCACTAAAAATTGGTTGATAGAACTGATTTCTTTGACATATCTAAATTAAAAATAATTATTAAAATGCCCAATTAGTATTTCGCTGTTGGCGTATTTCTTGTGTAAATTCAATTTTAAGCACATTATGGCTTGGTAGAGTAGTAATAACAATTAAGGCCGTAAGTAGGGTAATAAAAAAGCGTGAAACTCAAAGTTTCGCTTGCAGGTTTTTATTTAGTCGGATTATGACTGCTGTACAAGGTATAGCAAAAATCAGATTGCTAACTGAAAGTATAGGTACTTCCAAACTGCAAATAGGGATGACAAAAAATGGTTTCCGACGTAAACTCACTAACAAAAAAAAAGGGTCCGTTAACTTGGCCCCCCCACTGAGAGATTTGATAGTCGCATTATTTTGAAATGAATGCGCTCGTTATGCGCTCATATGCGCCACCGATAATAACTCTTGTGCCATTATCGTTTTTTAGAAATCCGAAAAAACATTTGGGGGGGCCAAGTGAACGTAGCCCCCCCCCCCAGTACGTATTTTGTCCCTTGTAACTAGGTCACCTGATACATTTGGTTATGCGCTCAATTGCGCCACTTGAATTAAAGCTAGCGCCATTACGGTTAAGCCGTGACAAATTTTCAAAAAGTGGGGGGGCCAACTTAACGTTTTTAAAAGTTACTTTTTTTTAACATCTTTTCATACGAAATTGTACTCTCAGGTATGCGCTGAAATGCGCCGTAAAAAGATATCTTTGCGCCATTATTGTTTTTTGGTTATCCTTAAATATATTTGGGGGGGGGGGGCAAGTGAACGGAATCCCCCATAACGCATTTTGCTACCGGTATTTGTGCCACTTGATACATCTGGTTATGAGCTCAATTGCGCCACTTGAATTAAAGCTAGCGCCATTACGGTTAAGCCATAAAAATTTTTTAAAAAGTGGGGGGGGGCTAACTTAACGTTTTCAAAAGTTACGTTTTTTAACATGTTTTTTCTACTACATCGTACCTTTCATCATGCGCTAAAATGCGCCGTAAACAAAAATCTTGGCGCCATTATAGTGTTTCAGAAACACTATACAGGGTGTTTTTTGGGAGCTTTAGTTAAACGATTCTGGGAAAGTAAAATAAAAAACAATAATGGCGCAAAGATATCTTTTTACGGCGCATTTCAGCGCATACCTGAGAGTACAATTTCGTATGAAAAGATGTTAAAAAAAAGTAACTTTTAAAAACGTTAAGTTGGCCCCCCCACTTTTTGAAAATTTGTCACGGCTTAACCGTAATGGCGCTAGCTTTAATTCAAGTGGCGCAATTGAGCGCATAACCAAATGTATCAGGTGACCTAGTTACAAGGGACAAAATACGTACAAGGGGGGGCTACGTTCACTTGGCCCCCCCCCCAAATGTTTTTTCGGATTTCTAAAAAACGATAATGGCGCAAGAGTTATTATCGGTGGCGCATATGAGCGCATAACGAGCGCATTCATTTCAAAATAATACGACTATGAAATCTCTCAGTGTGGGGGCCAAGTTAACGGACCCCAAAAAAAAATACACGCGCATGAACAGTTACGGCACTATAATTTGTATTGGGTAATTTATTATTTCTGCCATTGTAAACACTACACTATATACATTATTGCATAGATTATATTATTACATGCACTTACAAGTAAGGAAACGGCCTCTTGTCGACATTTCTAATGAACAGTTGCGACACCGGGTACTTCCGTGCGTTGAAATCTAAAGATATTACATTTTGCGAAGCAAATTGTCGGCGTTTAAATTAAATCACAAATGAATGAGTGGAGTGCACCTCAAAGGTAGGTTTAAGCACTCGCTGAAAAATCAAATTAATTGTAAAGGTCATGTTTCTCATTAAAAAAAACTTACCTGCTTATTAGTTTTCAGTAAGTACAGCTACTTTTAAAAGTGATTCACTTTTTAAGGCTGCTCTGTAGAAATTAGTAATAAGGGAATAAGACACAAATCTTGTGAGAGTGCGAGTATTCGTATTTGCAGGTTAGAGCGGTATCGGTATTAATTTACAAATTTTATAAATGCAACCATTGAATAAAGAATCTTATTATTCAATGATGCAACGTAACAAATCACAGCTTCCAAAATGGCCGACTTTTCATAAATTTCATAATCAAGACACCCATTCAAGAAAATTGGCAATTTATTTAATGTAAATAATAATGAAGTCGCAAACTTACTTAATGATAAAATTTCATACCAAATTTGTCATAAACGTACCTACTGTGTACGTAATATCCAAGCAATAATGTGAGCAAATCCTCGCGGGACATAAGTTTATGTACGTAATAACATTTCCCTTAAAATTATAGAAAAAATTCAAATTTGTACCGTTAAAGTTGACAGATGACATGTACCCGGTCGCTGTTAAATATTAATACTAAACGTGTACATATTTATTTAAGACATTTCTTCCTATACCTACGTACGAGTAATAAAATTCACAAAGCAGCTTAAAGGTTTTATTCCGCCGCGCGGAAAATATGTTAGTTTCCCGCAGGGCATGGCATAATTTTGCGAAATGCTTATGACACAATCAAGATATATCTAACGTTTAAAGTTGCTTGAAAACAAAGAGACCATATTTTATGGAACGTTTCGAAGCTGTAGTAGGTATAACGTGTACAGCAAAATATAATTCGTTTTATCAAAACGTTTCATCGTAATTCCTCGAAAGCTAAATTGAAAAGCGTATGAATTTTGCGTTTCTATTTTGGTCGGTCATTTGTGGATCGAAAACGTGTACCTACAGTAACTGTGAACCTTTTTCAAAAGGGATGATGTTATCAGATGCTAATAGGAATCTGAAAGCGTAACAATGCGTTCGAGTACAGATGATTGCTGTTGTGCGAATTGATAATTATTACCAATTATCCTCATTTGGTCATTTCAGCTACCCCAACTGCTGTTGATGGCACTTATATGTGCACATTACAATTAACGCAAACCTGTTGAATATTCATATTAATTACAAACCAATCTGAACGCTATCATTAGAGAAGGATAATTTTAAACAATATAAAGAGAAAGTGGTGCCCCCTCTTGACAACGAGTAGGTAAACCTATCAAATTAACCGCCTTCTTTAAAACTGCTTCAGACTCTTTTATCAATTTTGAACCAACGAACTCGTCGTTGTCGTTTGTCTAGTCCTAATGGTTGTAGCAACCACGCGAGCGGCCCGTGTTCGAATCCCGATCGATACAGAATTATTTTATATACTATTTCGCATATTTACATTTCCCATAGATTAATCTATGCCTAGACTAATACTGATATCCGATGTCACAACGACCCGTAGAGGGGTTAGTATTTCTAGTAGTTTTACTAAAACATAAACATTTAGCAGCGATTATGCTAGTCGATACGTTTGTTAAGCATCAAATTTGTAAAACAAATATAATCACTTGCTATGCAAATTATTAAATCTTCCCCGTAATAATATAGCACATCCAATTAGTGCCTGGTATCAAAGCAAATATCAGTAAAGAACTACTGTAATATTAATTCGTGAAACGAAACTGAATCCTGTCTTAAAAGTGACCGATTTACAAAATTAATATTTCTGTTTTGTTTCAGGAGTCTTCCTGTCGTTACTAATATTCCTCTCAATCGCCGGCAACATTTTAGTCTGCGTTGCCATATACACAGATCGTGGACTTCGTAGGATAGGAAACCTTTTTCTAGCATCACTAGCAATAGCGGACCTTTTTGTGGCCTCATTAGTAATGACGTTCGCTGGAGTCAACGATCTCCTGGGATATTGGATATTTGGAGCGCAATTCTGCGATACATGGGTGGCTTTTGACGTAATGTGTTCCACGGCGAGCATACTAAATCTTTGCGCCATCTCCTTAGATAGATACATACATATTAAAGACCCCCTAAGGTAAGAGAATATAGCTTTACTGTGTAGTCGATATCCGTTATTGATAGGGTAACGCTGAATAGCTTCGGTATCATTTTATGCTAAAGATAAATCAATTTACTTAGAGAAAATGTGTGAAACTTTGCAGTATTCGGGGATGTAGTTCCAAATTCATGAATAATTTTACCCTTTGTAGTTTGCTAATCTTGTACTGAAAAGCTACAGTCGAAGAAACAGCATAAGCTTAACAACTTCGGACCAAAGTGCTCACTATATAAGATAAATTGTCTCGTACTTGTAATAGTTGCATTATTTGTATGCAAAGTTTAACAAGTATCTGAGACAACTCAAGGGCATGGAAGTTTGGGGTTGTGGTGAACGATAGCTCTCAGGAGTTATTACAGGGATTTCGCGCCCGTTCGTAAACAAAGTGGGAGTGCGGAACGGAAGGCTATTCCTTTAAAGTTCAAGTAGGGGAAGTATGAATGAACAGTTTCGATGGCCTACTAACGTGAAAATTATTGTACAGCACAAATCACGTTAACATTTCTTGAAATACCCAACGAATGCTAACGCTTGATTTATAATACCTAACTGTGGTATATTTTCTACTCGTCCATTTATTTAACACTAACACAATTCAACCGCATTCAAAATTTTCAAGTAGGTGCATTTTTACACGCCGAGTGAACTTATTTTCCAGATTTCTGTCGGCAGTTATCATGTTCCCACTGTCGATTTTTTTTAATGAATGCAGAAGGTTTAATGTCCTTTGATATTTCTTTCACATATAGCAGCGTTAGATATACATTTAAGACTTTGTTCTTAAGCATCCATTGGCAAATATCAAATCATTTTCCAAATTTTTTACTGGATTTTGTATGTAGCGACTTTCCTTCTGCTTCTGCAACAAACCACTGAATGAGCAGTCTATTATTTTTTGAAATCGTATTTATTTTATTTCTAAAGATGGTGAACAAACTTTAAGTGACATTTCCATAGCAATCATGGAATTTTGAATAAGCAGCGTCGCCAACTATGTCATTGTGATTCACCCTCCGAATTACCGAAACGGATTTTGATTTTTTAAAATATCTCGTTTATTTACTTGGTAAGTTTTCAAATTGCCACCCTGTATATACAAAATTTGGAAGAGAGAGAGCAACGAGTTTTAGCTCAACCTCGATGGCAGTACTATGCGAGCTGATAGTTCAATTTCATCGATCTCCCAATTTCATTCGCGCGGTTTTAGAGAGATTCAGCTTGATTTTGGTCGAAAAAAGGTGTCGGTTTCACCGCTAAGTTTGGCGGCCACGAAAATTTATCTGACAAGATTAGCGTGCTTAATGTAAGTGACGCGCTTCTTATTTCTAAGGGCCTATTGTGCCAGCTGCCAGAGATCGTTGCAGGAAACGAGTACTTGAGCATATAACATCTTCCGTACAAAATATTATAAATCGGCCAAAAACGGTCATTCGTGGGTCTGAACTGGAGTAAGACCTTATTTTAAACACGTGAAACGTCGGAAAAAGAGTACGTAATGCGGCGCTCGTGTTAATAGAAATCACGATTTGTGTCATTAGGAGTTGTTAATTCGCGCCCTGAAGTCAAGTATGCGGGGGTAAAGCCCGTTAAAGAATACGTGGCCGTATTCATAGCGAATCTTACCGATGGTAGCTTATCCGCCCACCCGCTATGAGCATCAGTAGTTATATTAGAGGAAGGATGGCACGCAGACAGCCATGTTGGAAACTGAAACACTGAGTGACTTTGTGCATTATGGCACCGACGAACTGTAGTCCATTGTCACTAATAACGCGTTGCGTAACATTATTTCGTCAATCGCTGAAAAGCATCGTATCGCCTTTATGCCTCTTCGTACCTTTCGGTGGTGAAGTATCCATGCGCAAACTATTTCGTTGGCCTTCATTTCTATTTCGTCCTGGCATATTCTGTCCCAATATTTTTCGGCCCTATCACATAGCAGTTTTATTCGACCACTATTTTGTGATTGATTTTTTGAAATAATTATTGTTGGATCTGAATGATACTAACCTCCAGTTTTCTAATCCGCATCTCTTGTGCGGAGTTGCTCTCTTCGCACTCTTCCTCTGCTTTTATATATTTCTCTATCTTGTCCAGGTAGTCACTGGCCTTGAAGTGAACGTCTTTCAACTGCTCTATGAATTTGATCTTGTGATATTCGTGCTCTGGTTCTTTTAGTTCAAGTATCTTGGTTCGTGTTGACAGTCGAGATGTACCCTTGCAACTGATGGCGCCGGTCTGCTATATATTTCGCTGGATCCTCTTTCAGGTTGTTGGCCAACAGTTTCGCCGTCTGCTGGCCTACTTCTTGTTGTTGGGTAGCGAGGATGTCCATTGCCTCCATTTTTCTTCTAATTTTCTGATTGCTCATCTTGGTAAAAGCTAGCAGTTTGTTCATTGCCGTCGGGGATTTATTTTTCGTTTGGGAGTTGCAGATCCGTGCATCCTTTTGCTTCTGCGGAGTGTTTCCTTGTCTTTGCAACGGGTGTTTTAACGTGAAGCGGCGGTAAATGTCTCTAACCCAATTTTAGTCCTGACAGCTTTCACGTTGTTCCGCTTCTACAGATCATAAACAATCTTCTGTATACTGGAAGACTGGTAATCGTGCTTCTTTTTAATATTCAAAATTTCAAATCTTAGCAGAACCAGAAAATGGAGAACTTCATCACATATAAATAGTGTACTCATTTCTTATTGCATTAAACGTCATATGTTAGCATTGCGTATGCAATTGAAGCTTGATGTTTTTGTAGTATACCTGCGGCAAGCTTGTATTTCACAACTATTAATTGCTACCTTATGATAATGTAATAGCCGAGGTAATAACCGTAACATAATTCTAATTACACTATTGCGACAGCGATATAATTATATCGGCTTCATTGTTCTTCTGTGTAGTATCTTTCGGTATTAATCATATTTGTATTGCATTTATTTATTATTATTGGAGCCGTGCAAAGGAGTTTGGTTATTTTTCTATTAATTGGATTTGATTTGAGTGGTAATAGTTCCTTGCATGAATTCAAATTTTGTTTAGCTATAAGGCATGCATAAATATTTTTTGTAAAAAATTGTCAGGCGTATATTGTGCATTGTGTATTGTTGCCAAATTCTTCACCGAACAGCAAAATTTTAGGTTGCTATTTGAAAAAAAAAAGTTCGATGCCGTTGCGGCGCTCCAAAATTTTTTTTTCAAAAATCCGTTACCTCGGAAAATTACCAATGTACGCACGTACGAACGTACGTACATAGATACAGAGGGGAAAAATTTTTGTTCTTTAAATGTTGCTTAAAATGATCTAAAACGTCGACATTTGATGAAATTTTATCATGTCCAAAAAACGGTGATCGCAATAGCCTCCTAAGCTCAAGCTAGGAAGCTAAAACTAAGCGGATTTAACTGATACGTGACCAAGGGATACGGCTTAAATTTGTTGTATTTATATGACAGAAATCAATATTTTAAATCAGAAAACTGTATATTCAATTGTTTATAACATATAAATTCGTATTTATTCTTCTGCAGTCAAAGTAGAGTGCAAGTTCTGATTTTCAGATTTAAAAATTATCAAAGTCCTTGTGTGAGATTGAAGGGACTTCAGCGCATTTTTGTGTGGAAGATCAGTGTTTTATTAGCCAGTATTGACTGCACCATCAATAAAATCTTGTCGGGAGCAACCACACTCCCTTTAGCCCAGGCACTTTAGACCAAAAAATTCCCTAAATTAGACAAAATTAGTAACTAGCTGATTTTTGGTGGGGTGCTAGTATATGATAAGGTAAGTACTTTCTGAAAGTTCCCCTTACTTCCCCTGCTTGCTTCACCCGGTACGCGCCGTGTGACCGGAAAGTAATGAAATAGCTATTTTGCTCCATCTATGGCACCGATTTTGTTGGTCGTGGTCTTAAATTGTTCAAAATGACAGTGGATGTGCTAAATAATAACCATTGCAATAATCCATAACATTTTGAGGTGTTTTATTTGGAATTTTATGTAAATCAAATCCAATAAATAATTAAAGCGCTTTCAGAGCGCCTAAAATGAAGAACTTTGTTACAATTTCACATCTTTAACATCCTTATCATCCTGCTGAGGATGCGATCGATGCATTGGCGCAATCTCCAATATAGCGGGTAAACTTGGAAGGATAAGCTCGGACGCAGTCACAATGTCTACATCACACTGGCCTTTACAATCATATTATTTATTTATTTATATTATTATGTGTAATTAAATGAAAAAGCTCGTCAGGGGCTTGGTGCCGGGGTGACTTGCTCATGAGATATCCGGAATTCCCATTCTGTGGGAGACATTTGTATTCCCTTCAGGTCATTTAGGTTCTTCTGGTAGGGTGCCTCATACCCACACTGCATCACAGCACTCCATTGTAACATAGGTAAGGCTGCTACCTTCCCATTTCAAGTTCAGCACTTTTTTCTTGGGCGAGTGACGTGACACTCCTAAAAACAGTTTTTTTTTGTTTTCTGCAGCTTTATAGAGTTCTTTCTCTGACAATGTAGGTCATTTTCCTCGTTAAAATGTAAGGGTGGGTGGCTTCGTTTGAAGGCAATAGTTTCGCTGTACATACGGTTTCCTTCAAATATGCGGTTAGCGCTTGGCTTAATTCATAATTGTTTGTTTATTTGGCATTTTCTGAAGTGGGGAGTATAAACAAGTAGAAGGGGTTCAATTTAGGCAACATATGCGTTGTTGTTTTGTTTGAGGGACTAGAAGTACTTAGTACGTCTCTGGCGTATTTAAGTGTCGTACACGAGTTAGCGTGAGCAATACAACATAGAACATTTACAGATGAAACAAATCAATCAATAAGGCTGAAATAAAAATAGGTACTCAGGGTCAGAATATACATACCACGCAACAAGCCATCGTTTGAAACAATTAATTAAAAAAATCCTAATTACCTTAAAATGTTAATAATACAAAATATCCGGTTATAAATGCGATTCCCATCAAATCAC